ATTTTGGTTTATGTTTTTTCATTCATGCATTTTTCTTAACTGGTATGTCATATATGAGGACTTAGGTTGAGTTTTTGCATCTATACGGCCCACGACGATGTCACGGGCAATTTAATCTATTGCGGCGTTTCTGTGTAATTTAAATTTTTTTCCCGCCATTTTTCTCGAGTGCGGCGTTTACGCTGATGCGGCCTTTCTTCCGGAAATTACGGTAATTGTTATCATAAGTTATCTGCCCACAAGTGGTTGACTGAGTTTTAAGCACAAAATGTGCCTTCTGTTCTGTACATCTAAACTTTATAAGAGAATAAAAGTATATCTTAACTTAATAAAAATATATCTAAACTTTATAATAATAACATTTAAAGACATTGAAATTAGTATCTAAGTGCTTGCCATGTAGTCAAATTTTTATATATCAATTGGGTACAACTCTAATATACGCCCTAATTTCACCAAATGTGGCGATATGTGTTCTGTGCTGGTTTTTGGCACGATTGCGTGTTCTATGGCAACCCTGTTGACGTTGAAAAATCTTTCGCTGGAGCTCGTTGATTCGCCTCTGTGTCTGAGAAGATGGGAGGGAAAGGTAAAATGGTAGTTGTTGAATTGAAGTTCGGAAAAAGGAAATATCATTGTGGCTATCCTGTTGAGGGGTAGTGGGTATTTGGAAGTGTGGAAAGAGGGTCTGGGAGATTATTTTTAATGGCAGCGCATGATAGAAGTAGGGATTTGATTTTTTTTTATTTGTGAACCATAGTATAATTTTCTGGATAGTGTGTCTGGCTGTCACGTAAATATGATAGTGATTACATGGTGGCATGTTAAAGGCGGTATGAAATTTATATTTCTGCTATTCAAAAACGCATTAATTCATGGTAAGTGCATTTTATTTTTATCCTTGTTCTTATTTTGTAGAATGTTATGTTCATTGGTTCTTTAGTATGAATTTCTGTCGTTATTGTTTTTTTTTTTTAAATTGTTTTAAATTTATTTTAGTTTTTTTTGTTGTTAGTGTCTAGACTGTGCAATTCGTTAGATGTTTTTTATATAGTTGAAATGGAATGCTGTGTATATGGTATTATTTGAAATTTTATTGTTGTTATGGTTATTTTATTAAAGTGAGGAGTGCGTAGATCGTGATTCCTTCCTTGCCTAAATTGTGCAATTCATAGAATTTTTTTAAAGTTTAAACAGGATGTGTGTACATGGTATTCTTTCAAATTTATTGTTGTTATGTTAATTTATTAAAGCGAGGTGTGCGTAGTTTGTAGATTCGTTCGTTCCTACATTGTGCCAATTCGTTGATGTTTTTTTTAAGTTAAAACATCGCTGTGTACATGGATTCTTGTCAAATATTTTTGGTTAGAACTTTACATTTTTTGCTATCTAAATTTTTTGTTTTTTTTTTTGGATTTTTAGCTAAATTGTATGTTGAAAACGTAGTTTTTGCATGTGCGAAACCGCGTTTTTGGAGACATTTTAGGCTAAAAGTTCGAAATGTAGACAAAAAATTTAGATAGTAATATGGCAGCGTGAAGTTTCTCGCCATAAATATTTGGCGCGAAATTTGGCGACTTGAGGGCGCATATCAGAGTAGTTCCATAAATTGTACTCTTATTTTATTATAGAGTTTTTATTACAAAAAAATTCAGATTTCTGTTAAATAAAATATTTAAGTAATGTAGAAAATTGGCATAAAATTTAAAATAAAAAGACTGTTATGTCAACATACTATTAATAAAAGTAATAATACTCAGTGAAGGTTACTCATATCAGCTATTAGGTTGTAAGATTTACAAAATTTGAGAATTGTAAATTATAAGCAATATATTCCATAATGTAAGCAACATTATATTTTTTATAGTCAGTCAAATTATAAAAATGTTATAAAAGCAATATTTTTGGTCCTGATTTGAACCTATGAATTCATGCAATCACACATCCCTATAGTTTTAATATGAGGCAAAAAAGTATTTTTAGACCATGGTAATTTTGATCTTCTTAGCAAAAGAAACACAAAGAGTTTACGTCATGCTACTGAAAATGTGTTTCTTTTCTTGGGGGAGGGGGTGGAGTTTATAATAATATGCAGAGTTGACATATGAAAAAATGTCAAGACTCATGTGATGTAATATTAAAAGCATCAGTTTTAATTATCAAATTTTAGCTTTTTTAAAAATATTTTAAATCCTGTGCTTTCCCAACACAAACGTAACTTTAAGAAAAACATGCAATTTATCCCTCCTGCCATCAAAGCTCCGATACCTACCAAATTCGTTAAAGTTACATGGACAGAAATGGCGGCATGTTTTTTTCAGCTCAGTATTTAGGGTTACAAAGGTTATCATAATTTTACATTTATCGCTCCAAAATATCGCCAAACAAATTTCTCGCCAAAAAGGACTAATACTAAAGCTGTGCCTATAAAACATACAGTTTGCTGAGAAATAAATGGTTGCATGAGCAGTGTTTTCATTTAATTTATCAGCAAAGTGGGTTGATCTTTGAATTATGGTAACTTGGCGATTTTTTGGCGAAAATTTGGCGACCAACTCTGCTACAGCAACCCCTATTTTTTTTTTTCGCTGCCATTTTGTCTTCACGAAGTAAAGACATGTTTCTTTTCTTTTTATTTACTGAACACTTTTTCCAACAATCTACTAGCCAAATTACACTTATGCTAGAAATTTTATGCAACAAAACTGCTTAATCATGACAAATATTAACTGCAAAATTGGGAAAAAATGCACAATCGCAAACTCCTTGCGTGTTTTTCAGAATAGCACATACACATAAACCATTTACACGTCGACTTATTTTTACTTAAAAAAACATCCCAGAATTGCACAAAAATGGCATTGCACACACTCTTAACTTTATCCATCTACACTGGTATTTTCTCATAAATTACAAAAATATGCATGAAAATTTTGTGAATCTTTAAACTCGATAAAAAGCACATATATGAAATTACCTGATCGCGAAAAAGTACATACCCTTTCCAAGGATGAACATTTCCAAGTATAAAATAAATAAAATATCCAAAAACTTTTACCTCTAAATTATGTATTATATTATAAACGTCACCAACGAATTCATACTGCAAACATTACAAATGGTTACAAATACTTAGTGTCAAATATTTAAATTATTTCCATGCACGTTTACTTCTACGGAAATGTGTTCCAAAATGCTACAAACATATAATTCACAAAATAACTATCATTTAATTAAAATATAGTTAAACCATGTACACGTCGATGTATTTTTACTTAAAAAAACATTCCAGAATTGCACAAAAATGGCATTGCACACACTCTTGACTTTATCCATGTACACTGCTTTTTTCTCATAAATTAGAAAAATTTGCACGAAAATGCAGGAAAATTTTGTGAATCTTTAAATCCGGTAGAAAGAACATATATGAAATTACCTGATCGCAAAAAGTATATACCCTTTCCAAGATTAACATTTCATGTATAAATAAATAAAATATCCAAAAACTTTTACCTCTAATTATCTATTATATTATAAACGTCACCAACGAATTATACACCGCAAACATTACAAATGGTTACAAATACTTAGTGTCAAATATTTAAATTAACTTTCCATGCACGTTTACTTCAACTGAAACGTATACCAAATTCCTACAAACATAAAATTCACAAAATAACTATCATTATTAAATATCACTAAACCATGTACATGTTGACTTATTTTTACTTAAAAAAATCCCAGAATTGCACAAAAATGCATTGCGCACACTCTCACTATAATCCCTGTTCACTGCTTTTTTCTCCTAATTGGAAAAATTCACGAAAATGCATAAAATACTCAAGCGTATTCAAAATACACAAACATATAACCAGAAATATCCGAAAATTAAAATTAATTAAATTAAAAACAGTACTTAAAATATAAATAGCACATCATTAAATTAAAAATTAATTACACTCTAATTACTTTCAACAAATCATTGCTATAGAATTTGCCATAAATCATATTAATTTATTTTACTTCCTTCATTTAGCATTACATCATAAAATAATCTCCTCAAATGATTAAAAAACTAACTTGCCTAATCTTCAGTATCTTCATTACGTGGCACCACACTATTTCACACAACACACAAGAAGCTAATACAAAATAATATAGTACTACATTTTCTCCCAATTCCCCCCCCCCCGATTAAGAACGTATTTCGTCCATTAATGTCCATGACATATCTCAACGTCCGCACTTTTCCCTCGCAAAACTAATGCGTAATTGGAACTGATACTTCTTCACATTATTACCAAAGTCCTAGGTAGTAACCTTTATCGCCTCCAAAATGTCGCCAAACTACCAGTTACCATATTCCAAAGATCAGCCGCAAAATGTACTATTGCGAGAATTAAAAAAAAAAAAAAAAAGTTTTTATTGCTAATGTCCAAGCTTTGAAATCAGCACAGTGATTCTATGATTGCATTCATATCTGTAAATTCTTGAATATTATCATAATTCTCTTTTATGTTCATTGCATGAGAAAATATTCACATTGGAAAGTAAAAGTGCCTTTAAACGAGTAGTTAAAAATTTTAAATGATCCAAGTTTCCAAATTATATTACAGCCTTAACTGAAGTAATCAGTCATTGGACATTATGTCAATAGTTAAATTGCTGACACTTGATTTTTTAACTTTCATATGGGTTATATATTTTATGATTCTTATGCAACTAATAGTAATAGATATATTACTGCTTCTGATAACATTTATTTGGGTAATTTTTGTACTTAAATATGCCAGTTCACTTTGAAAATAGTGTATTATTCAAAAATAGTGAGTGATATAATTATGCAATCAGTTTTATAAGAAAGGTTTTGCTACAATGGCAGTGTTATTATTCTGTTATTGAATAAGTGTTAATTCTGTTTAGTTCAAACTCTGTAAGCAACTGTACTATTAGTGTTTAATGCTCTTTTGCATATTAAATGCCGCATTTTTAATTTTTAGGGTAGCCTTGGACGTTCTGATGAAGATATTGCTGCAGAAACTCTTGCAAACCATTTAAGATGTAACAATAGTTTTGTACATGACTTATTTCAAGGCCAGTTCCGGTCATCAATTTGTTGTCTCGGCTGTGGTCAATTCAGCAACACATTTGATCCATATCTTTGTGTTTCATTACCTGTACCTCATAGTCAAAACATTCCCTTATTTTTTAATATAGTTTTTCTTAATGAAAAAATGAATATGGTGAGTATATATGCAGTTTCACTCCTTTTTTGTGTAGATCATGTATATTGCATAAGTGTGTGTTTATATATATATGTGTGTGTGTGTAAGATAAAGAATTATGCAAATCAAAATTATAATTGGTTAAAGTAGCAGTAATTCCTTAATTCCCTTTCTGTATTCTTAAAATCATAATAATAGCTTTTCTGAACTGAATCATTTCTAGATCAATTCATCTTGCATGGCTTGCATAACACTGATGACGTAGCTAACTCGAAACTTAACACAAAATTTTGAGAACTGAAACTTTTCTAATCTAAACCCAAACCTTCTCTTGGTGAGCGTCCGTAGTGGATAGTTGTGCACTTTTAGCTTCAGCTCTCCTGCAGGCAAGATGCTGCTTCGCCCTGTTTGCTTTGTCATGCTACTAACTATGCCATTATCTAAAATGTGATATTCTGTATAAAATTGTGGGGTGCATATTTCACCCATGATCATGTGTGATGAAAGAGATGTTTTTGATAATTGGCTCGTATCCACAATTAAAAGTTATATTCAATTCGGCCAAATCTGTCTACAAGTCTTTGCTTCGAGTGTGATCTTTCTAACTACGCAGTAGAGTCTCCCCACAATATAATGCAGAGAAGCCTTGCCAATCTGTTACAGCTTACTCCAAGTCATCTTATGACATGTGGATATAAAATTATTAATTTTCTATTTATAATTATCTTGTATGAAAGAAAGTATAAAACTATTGCTAAATGGAATTAGAAAATATTAATATTTAAGAGGATTGTGAAAAACTATTTAAAAATTTGTAATGGCATGCATCAAATATATATATTTATATATATATGTAAGAAAAATAAAGAATATGTAAAAGATTAACTTAGAAGCTTAAATTAATTTCCCTTCTCTATTCTAAAAGGAGTAACCTGTATTTGCACTGGGCAGTGTTGGCAGAAATTTTTCAACTAAAGTAGCAAAAGGAGACTAAAAAAGTAAAAAAAATCACAAATAACGTCAGAGGTCACGTGATTTTTTGTTATGTCATAGTTACATATGTTTGCATTACTTCTGACGTCATCACAGATTTACTGTCTATTGGTTCCATAGGTTACACACTGTATTCGATTCTTAGTCATTTTAATTACATATCTTTTATAATAACTAACTTTGTAATAGAAACTTGGCAGTCGAGGCAGATTAAATTTCATTTTTATTTAAATTGACATTTGTGGCCAGTTCACTTGGCACTCTAATTGTGCCTATTTCCAGAACATTTATATTTCTGATTCGGTTATGATAGGAAGAGAGCACAGTGCAATAGCATCTAAGCACTACAGAGGTTCAAGCGAAAAGTGTGCATTTATCCAATATGGAGGCTCACCAAGAGGAGGTTTTGGTTTACGTTAAAGAGGTTTCAGTTCTCGAAATTGTGAGTTTAGGTTCTGAATTAGTCACATCATCAGCGTTATGCAAGCCATATACAGAGTTGCCAACTCTCCCGATTTTCGACCGCTCTCCCACCATCCCAATTTACAATATATTTCTCCCGACTTTTTCTTATTCTTAAAATTTCTCACGATTTTTATGGAACATGGCTTAATACTTTGTTATATGAAAAAAAAAAAAAAAGTGATTTTGGACGTCTAAAACCAATTGAATTTTCTCTAGATTATATCTAAAAGAAAACCTTGCGAATTAGATAATTTCTGCTTTGTGAGTGAGAGCATATACCTATCCAGAAACGTCGTTCTCCAGTTCTCCAATGGGCATCGTGCTCCACTGCGTGTCACCTGGCGTATATTAACCAATGAGGACAAAGCAAGCTGTTCTCTGGATGTTGTTTAGTTATTTCGGTCATTTTGTCTTGAGTTGTGTGAGTACACGTGCCTTCGAAAAATAGTTTTTGAAACTATCATCTTTTGTTATGTCTACGAGAAAGGTGAAATACTCGTGTAAGTTTCAAAAATCGTACACACTTGACTTTCCTTCCATTATTTCCTCAAGGAAATATAATAAATTTGCGAAATCGAAAAACCGCCTGTCATTGCGATTTTTCGATTTCGCATGGTGGAAGGGTGGATGTTCTTAAACATGTGCGTACACAAAAACACAAGGACAACATGAGTTTTTTGAAAAAACGAAAAATTAAATTTTTCTTCGGAAACAAAGGACCAAAAAGTTATTAATGCAGAATGTCTGTTCTCTGTCTTTTTACTGGAGCACAACCTGCCACTGAATGCATCGGATCACGCTGCAGCTTAATTTAGAAAAATGTTTCCCGATAGTGAAATCGCTAAGAAATACTCAAGTGCAAGAACCAAAACAGGTGCAATTGTTAAAGAAATGGATTTGAAAAATAATTCTTCAGTTATTGATTGCATTAAAACAGCTCCGTTCTGTCTCTCTACGGTTGGAAGCAATAATACCGATTCAAAACTGTATTCAATTGTTGTTTCTTTTTTTTAATCCAGAGTCTTCAGAAATTGAGTGCAATTTACTTTCTGTCCCCACTTTAGAAGGATATTTGACAGGCTTTAATATAGCACAGCTAATTATTAAAACTAAAAGAAAATGTAGTCCCTCTGGATAATTGCTTAGCACTTGGTGCCGATAATGCACCGGTATCGGTAGGCTTGAAGACTGGTGTTGCAGGCATCTTAAGAAAGGAAAATTCAGATTTGCGGATTATGAAGTGCACCTGTCACCTCTTAAATTTAGCAGCTGAAAAAGGGGCAGCTTCTTTACCAATAAATGTGGATGAACACATTGTTGATATTTATTATTATCTTGAAAGGAGTTCTAAAAGGAAGGAAAAATTAAAACAGTTCCAACAGCTGCATAACAGCAGTTTACAATTAGAAAACTTGAATGAAGTAATAAAATCAGCTAGGATTGACACCCAGTGGAGTTTAATTGGAAAACTGAAAGGTGCTGATGGAATTTTAAAATATAGTGAACTGTATAGAATTGTGTTGGCCATCTTGACAGTTCCCCATAGTAATGCAGAGTGTGAGAGGATTTTCAGTGTTGTTGCGAAAACGAGGACTAAATTTAGATCTAATATTAGTGGTAACACATTAGAAAAACTTTATTAGCGAAAGCAGGCCTACGTGGCAATTGCTACGAACAAAATTATGAAGTTTCTTACAGAAAGCAAAATTTGCCACTGTTTATAACATTTATACGAAAACTGATTAAAGTTTTTTTTTTTTTTTTTTTTTTGTTGTTTTTGTTTTCTTAAACGATGCAAGTAATAAAAATGTTTTTTATGTGTAAGGTATTTTTGTTTTTGTGTGCTTGCATTTAAGAATTAGTTATATTTTAAATAATTAATTATTAAAAACTATATTGTCATCATTTAAAATGTCTTTTTAACATTGTGAAAAATCTCCCGATTCCTTACAAAAATCTCCTGATTTTTGAGTGTCATAGGTTGGCAAGTATGCATATAGGATAGACTGATCTAGAAGTGATGAAATCCAGAAAAGTTATTATGATTTTTAAAATGCAGAGGGAGAATTACATGGTTACCTCTAGTTTAAATAATAATTTTGATTTACATTACTTTTTATCTTACATATTCCCCTCCTTCAAAGAGAATAAGGCTTGGTGACAGAAAATACTCAAGCTTAAGCTACTTATGCTAAAGCATTATAACAGTAGCAAAGGAATACATTATGTACAGTTAGTACGAGAAAGCAAATGAAGGTTTTCAGGGACATAGCCTGGAGGCTTCTCAATGCCTGTCATTTAATTCACAAACTTTCTCATATCTAGATATATGAAAACATATAAAAATAAAATTTCAAATTCAGAATGTATAAAAGCATGTAAAAAATTCAATTTAGAAATATGAAAACAAAATTATTAGAATGGAAAGTTCAAATGAAAATATAAAAAAATTCATGTATTCAAGATGTGCTTGAAGTTCTAGAAAAGTTGTCTTGATATTGTCACAAATTTCCACAGGTTTTTTTTTTTTTTTTTTTTTTTTTTTTTTTTTTTTTTTCCCAACTTTTCTAAAACAGTTATGAAAAAGCATTACATTTATTATGTACTTATTCATAATAGAACAAGAATAGAGTTGCATATTGTAGAGCAATGGAATAATTGAAACACATAAAAAAATGCAATAATAATAAACTGCTGATAGTTGTAGTATGCTCAAATACAATTTCACCTAAAGGTTTCCTTCCTCAAAAAAAGTAACTACTCTTAGTATTGTATGACAAATCAAAGTTAAAAGTTTCAGTTTACTCTTATGGCCATAAAAGTCTGTTACATTATACACTTGATATTAAAAGAAAAAAGCTAAAGACACAAAAATCAAGGTAGACAAATAACTTGTATACTGAAGTTATGATAAAGAAATGTAATTAGTATAACATTACCCTGTGGTCTTAAATACTACTAATAAAAAAGATTAAATATGTATTGTGTGTGTGGTAGCACTTTATACTGAAACTAAAGCCAGAAGAATGAAAAGGAGGGGTGAAAAGTACCCAGCAGTTCTCTCACCACAGTGACTCTTCTAAATGAAAATTTTAATTTGTGGATTAGGGTTTTCCTAGAGCGACAGTGGGCATGTGCTCTCATTATTTGTACCCTCCTTGTTGTAATAAGGTGACTAAGAGTAACCTGAAACAGATTGATGATGGTTTTCTTCATTGTATCCTGAGAAGAATTTAGTGCATAGTTAGAAAGATAACACTCGAAGGAAAGACTTGCAGCTTAAATGAAAATAACTTTTATTGGTGGATACAACCTAATTATCAAAAAAATATTTTTCGTCACACATGATCATGGGCGCAATATGCACTCCTAAATTTTAAAGAGAATATCACATTTTAGCTAATGACATAGTTAGTAGCACGACAAAGCAAACGGAGCAAAGTAGCAGCTTGACAGCAAAAGAGCTGAAGCTAAAAGTGTGTAATTATCCAATGTGGAGGCTCACCAAGAGGAGGTTTTTGATTTAGATTGTCTTTATTGCAATTGAGCATTATTTGTGA